TGCCAAACTGGTGCTAAGCAAAGGCAGCATATTGCCGGCCAAGATCAAACTCTCGCTGCCGCAGTCTGCTGAGGGTGATGCCATCGATGCCCTGACCTCGTTCAAGCTGCGCACCGGGCAGAGCGAAATAATGGCGCAACTGCCAGATACGACGCCCACCATAGACGACGGACTGTTTCAGCTGGAGGTGGAAGTGGATTGGGATGACAAGGATGGTAATATAGTGCCATTGGTGCGACTGCGTTGCATGTGAACTCAATCATTTAGTCTATTTATTGTTGGTAGCCTAATACTTATAATACGACGAGTTTATAATAAATTCAAAAGCTTCAATCAATTATGCTGTGAGTTGTGTTTAACGGTGCCTTAAAAATCCATCGATTTAGTCTTAAAATTACGCTCCAGTTTACGCAGAAACTCCTCGAATACGACCACACCCTTGAACATGCTGGTCTTTTTGTAATCCTTGATGCGACTCTTATCCTCGGGCGCCTCCATATAGCTTTTCGTCTTGTCATCGTAAGCATTAATCTCCTGCAGCAGCTGTGAGATGGTCGGCACCGTTGTCGGATCAAACTTGGCCACGGCGCTGACACTGAAGGGTATGCACACCTTGCCCGTGGCCGGATGTATGCAGAAGGGCGCCTTCAGCAAGTGATTGAAGCCCTTGGTTACATTGATATCCAGCCGGGGATAGAGCAGGCACAGCTGCACCTCCTGCACAATATGCTTCAGTTTGCGACTCCAGACATTGGCTGCGCTGGTACGCATCGAGTTCGCATAGCGCACAAAGCTGTCCCAGACGAGCTTCGAGTGGGCGCCATCCTCGTGTTGCTTCTGCAGATACGCCTCCATATCGTTGCGTGCCCCCTCATCGCTCACCATTTGCAGCAGCCTATTAACGCCCTTGGGCGTGCCAAACAGATTCTGATCCTCCAGGACAATCTCCTCGAACATGGGCTCCAATATCTTTAAAGCACGCCGCAAACTATGATGCGTACGCTCGCCCATCTGAACGCGTGCCGCATTATTCGTGTAGGTGAGTATGTTCAGGTACTCGGCGACAGCTGCTCGTGCTCGGGCATCCAGATGACGCGCCGTGTGATCGCACACCCAGCAATGTATGCCACGACGTCCCGAGAATATCCAGAGCATGTGCTCGAAACCGAAATCCTCGCGTAGGGCAGCATCGAGGACGCGCGCCGCTAGCATCATAAATTTCCAGCACTTCAGGCAAATCTCCGCACCGGAGCAACAGTTGCGTATATCATCGTAGTCCGTAGCGTCGATATCAAAGACCAATTCACGCTGCACGGGCGTCAGTACACCAGCCACCGTGCGAAAGTTCTTCGGTCTGGTGTGCATAACGGGTCCAATATCGATTTTATATGGATTACGCGAACAGATCTCTTTCTCCAGCTCCGCTTGTGTCTCAAAGCACAAGTAGCGTATGTAGATATCATCTTGCAATGTGAACGAAATCTCCCGATTGACAAATATATTGTCCTCCGCTGCAAATTTAAAAAAATAACCTTTATTTTAATGATCAGTTTAAGGAATAAGTGCACTCACAGTGTCCATAGTTTAGCCAGCGATAGAAGGGCTCGTGTGGAAAGAGGCGTCTGTAGTAGACGGGCAGCATATCCGGTAATATGCTGGCATCATAGACGGGTGCTTTTGTTTCTTGCGGCGCCTGCGGCTGAGATTCCTGATCTGCGCTCTGCTCCGGCATTTTGACCTGTTCTATAATTAACAATAATAAATTATATATTTATTACATATAGAGAGAACGCTAGAGAGCAGGTATAAAGACTCTAATATTACTACAAAATTACGTTAATTTACACAAAACAATAAAATATCATCAAAATCTGCGGGACTTACTTCATAGACTTCATGAAAGTCGCATAGAAAGGCTATAATTACAATAGAAAGTGCGCGTGTGTATGAAAGAGTTACAGAGAGTTTGGATAAAATATTTAAGTGATGCAGAGAAAGAGTAAAAATGGGAGAGTGCGTGAAAGATTTTTAAATATCATATATTATACACACATCAGTTAAATATCGAAGATATGTGAGCCCTACTTAAGTTTATCAGAAAATAGAAATGCGACGTAGAAGCGAATTAAATTTAACTTCAACTGCGTCTGAGAGGTGAGTACCTCCGACTCTCAGAGACGATCATCGACGAATACATACAAACGGTCGGAAATGTACGTGTTTTCTATAAAGTAAATGCTTGATATTTGTGTGTACAACAAACATTTCATGACGATAAGAAAACTACTTGTAATTCTTTTTTGTCGAAACCTTATTCCTATATTTATACATATTTTTTGATGATTTTTTTTGTTTTGTTTTGTTTCTTTTTTAAAGAGAAATACACGTTTTGAGCTTAAAATATTTAGATATTTTAACGACATGCAATTGAAAAATACGCAGCTAATTAATTGTCAGTAATGAATCGAGTCAAGTTGGGTCGAGTTAACACAATGGAATTATAGAACCGCGAAAAGAATATGGTCAGTGAGTCTGATAAATTTGCTTAGCGACTATATAGAAATTCTATATATATATATATATAACTATATATAATCGTAATGTAACTACTAATCGTTTAAAGTCTAGGTTAGATCATTTTTTGTTGTTGCTTAAAGTTAGGTTCATTAAGCGTCACAGAGCCCACACGACCACACTCACACGCCACACGCACGCACACGCATACAGATACAGATACACAAATACACCGAGGACAACAGCCAGCTGCTGTTTTAGGCGACAGTCAGGCGAATGTCCTGCATTTTATGCTGCTGCCAAGAATGCGCCGGCTGTCGTGGCGGTGCCGTGTTATACAGCGTCACGGAGGCGATGTGATTGTTGGGCATCACCTCGAATATCAGATCCTGATAGCCATAGCAAAAGGTCGAGCCAAAGGGATTCGCTGTATTCGTCGAGCTGGCGCGATGCAAGACCACCGGACGCTCTGATGTGGCCAGCGAGCCACTAATTTCATCCCATTTGGTGTAGGCAGTTATATTGACATGATCATGCTTGCTCTCGCTCTCGCCAGGCTGATGATCGATTTCCAGCTGAAACTGGAACTCACAGCGATGATACATATTGAAATTAAAATGGCCCGGATAATTGGTGTGCAGTATGAACTTCTTGCAGGTCTGTGTGCGAGCGTCGAACAACACATCGATGCCCAGGGTGAAATAATTGAAGAATATATCGCTGCGTTTGCTCTGCACCTGGCGATTGACGCTCGAGCTGTGTATCTTCATTTTGTCCTCGCTCTTGAAGAAGATCCGGTTGGGTGCACCCAAATTGGTGGCCACATCCTCACAGCTATCGCCAAAGAGCAGCTCACGCGTAAAGCACTGGCGGCGTGGCTCCAAGGCACGACCCGAACCCTCCGTGAAGAGTTTCAGTTTGAGACCCTTGGTGTGGCCATATGAGGTGCGCAGCACTGTGGCTGACTCCAGATACAATTGTCTATGATAGCAGGCCAATGGCAGTGAAGGCGCACGATTATCAGCAACATTGCTGCCCGCATACAGTGACATTTTGGATACCACTGGCGAGGCGCCATTTAGAAAGACCAGCGAGCCCAGGCCATGGGCGTAGCCCGAGTGCAGTTTGCTGTCCACGGGAAAATAGAAGCTCAGTCCGCGAAAGTGCAGGGCAAAGAGCTGTTTGGCCGCATCGTAGACACCCGGATGGGTGGCGCCAAATGAATGCTCGATTTGCTCTATGCTGGGCAGCACTTCGGGTGAATTGAAGTAGACGCCGCAGTATTTCAGCTTCGCCAGCTTCATGTTGAACACTTCGATGGTTTTCAGGCGCTGCACAACCGGATCAAAGATCAAACGTAGTCCATCCTGTGGCAGATTTATGATGATGTCCACGCCCAATGGATTGGTGTCGGAGTAGAGCACTTGTACGCCCTTTATTATGCCCACCTGCGATTGTATGATGGCTATGGCCTGAGAGAAGTGCATGCCCAGCACAAACTCCCAGGCATCGCAGCCCAGCGAGATCTCTGGCACAATTTCCAGGTCGAGCATATTCTGTGCAAAATGTTGTTTTGGTTTTTTGTTGATTATTATATGTAATTTTTATTTTTACTTTTGCCACCTTACTGACCTTGATATGTGAAATCAGCTGCGACCCACGAAAATATGCGCAATTTCGTGTTGTTTTTTTGTTATTGTTTTGTCTGTTATTTGTTCAAGTCCGTTGTTTCTTCTCCGCCCCTGTTTCGTGTTGTTGCTGTTTGCTGTAGTCGCTGCTTGTGATATTATTCTCGCTTGAATTTTGCACGTCTAATTATTTGGTTGCGTAAACGTGTAATTTTAGGCGTTTTGCAATTTATTATACAGCTTAGCGTATTTTCTAAAGAATATTGTCGATTTCTAATACACACTCCGAACAAAGGCAAAAAAAAAGGCAAATGCGCAGCAGAAATACAAATGTAATGTAATAACAAAGTTGAAGTGTTGCCAGATCGGGCGAACAGCTGATTTTGCAAATTTGTGAAATTATTCTAAAAATACTTAATAACTACATGCACGCTTACAAATTTAAATATTATTGACTAATTCATGCAGTAACTTATGTAAACAAGTCAACAAATGGTTTAACTTTATTTTTAAAGTTTGACTGCCTGCAGGTGGCAACGTTTACTAAGAACGCAACAGCTGAGTTGAGCAGCTGCACAGTAATTTTTGGCGCGCTTTTTTCTTAATTGTTTACGCTTACCGTTTGTTTTTATTTGGATTGATTTTGGGATGCCAGCAATTTCCAGACAATTTCTATAGTTACAACTTCCGTATGGTGCACTTTATGCTATTTAAATTAATTAATATACGCTTAATTTAAGTGTTACAACGACGACGAAAACACGCACTGCGCTCACAATAATAAAAAGTGTGACCAGCTTACGAAAGTGCTAAATTACCCAAAGTTTTCCATCTCTCATCATTAAAAGAGCGCCAAAGAACAGAGTGAAAAAAAGTTTTCATTCCTTCCGCAATTTTGCATACAAATACTTTAAATCTATTGTAAAAATCACAAAACACAATAATTATACACTTTGTACACCGCTCTCTGGACAGCTGGCCCCACACTTAACACAAATAAAGTTCGCATCTGTCAATAAATTGGCGCTTAAACAGTAATAGCAATATATGTGCCCACAGCCCATGTGATGGGGCAGCGTAGGACGTACGCCGCAGTAGCTGCAAGTGGTGTTCGTCGTCATTTTGGCGGCAACAAGATCTCTCGTAGCACTTTCCCGCCGCCGGGCGTGCTGACCCTCCTCTCCGAAAAAGCCAGCCTTCAAAAGTCTTTGGATTTTACGAAAATTGATAATCGGCAGCAATAGACCCAGAATTTCCTGTAAGTTTAGACTTGATATTTATTGTTTAGAAACTTGCCCGCAGTTACATACCATAAAGCCGCCCCATAGCAGTTCACGTGTCAGGTATTTGTAGCCAATGTCGCGTCTTTGATTGTTGCGCAAACTGATGTAGTCCAAGCCCAGCAGATAGTCAATCAGTGTGGGCTTTCGTCCAGTCTTTAGAAACCGAAAGTAGTTGAGCACGTTCAGAACCAAGGCACTGTTCTCTGTCCATGTAATGGCCCGGCTGAACCATTCGACATGGCGCGACAAACGCTTCTCCTCCCAGCTCTTCACATAGCCCGGCAGCACGGTTAACGCAAAGTGTAGGGCCAATCGGGAAACAGTTAGTTTCTCGGCGTCGTAGGCTAATACCAGCAGCTGCTGGCCAAATGTGGAGCAACGTTTGCCCACGGATCCAAACCAAATAGCCGATTGTATAAGTAAATCCAACTCTGGTTGTATTTTGATAAACAGCACGGGCTGAAATTAGGTTAAGATTAGGTATTTGGGCTGTCATATAATTTATTTGTGTAACCCACCGATATGGCTTGTAAATTCTCCAGCAGATTATCCCGTATCATGCGGGATATGTCCTTGTTGAGGTAAATAGCATCTATCTGGGTTTTAAATAAGCTGTTAGCCGTTTCATTGTTGGCTAAGGAAGCTACTTACCTGGTTTACGCGCGGCACATATTTATTTTTGGCCAGCATTTTGTTTACCTGCGCCCTGTTCGCATTTGCCTTTTGTACTCTGCCCTTTTGTTATCATTCTGTTTATTTGGTTTAGCAAGTGTGTACACACTGCAAGTTGACACTGAAAATGGACAGCTCTATGTTAATTAACAGCCTTGCAACAGCACTACTCCGTGCTTTAACATATGCTCCACATATAAATATTCAAAAATAGTATTTTAGCAAGTTACATTAAATACTCGTATAAATCTCAGTTTCCACACAGTATTTTGAACTTTTGTTCAAACTTGTTACCTATCAACTATTCAAGTGTTTATCAAATTATTTATTGCCAATGTTGTCAATTGTTTAGTTTTATTTTGTTTTGACAATTTAGGAAGCAATTTCGCATCTTATGTAATTTCAATTAAAACAAATACAACTCGTTCCAAGGCGGAAAATATGTCTGACCATTTCTTGTAATCTCTTTTTATTGCTTATACGACGCGTAAACCAGTTGAACATGTCACGGATTTAGACATAAAACCATAAAGACTGACAAATGTTGTCGGCCTTAAGTGCAAGTTCATTGCTTGGCAAAGAAATGAAGATAAAATATTGAAAATCCGAGTTTTTTGATTTATAAAAAGTACATAATTCACATTATCTTTATTAGACAATTTACAATTGATTTGTTTTTGTCTCTGCAACAAATATGTCATTCATTTAACGTAATTAATGAAATTATATGGTATGGTTATAGTTTATAGATTGATAAATTCGTCTGAGTGAATGAACTAGTCTTGGGAGTGGATGAATCGTAGCAGATAGTGACTAAGAAACAGTTGAAAGTTAGCGTGTAGTTGAGTAAGTGGAAATTATTTGCTATCACAGAAATAAAATACGTTATTTAAATGATATGATATGAGTATTATGGAGTATTATAATGCATCATGCACTCGGGCAGTGGTGGAGTGCATGGTTCTTGTCAGTGTCCTAATTACGAGATATGAAGCTGATTACATTACATGGATCGTTCGATTGTGTGAGAGTGTGTGTGTGTGCGTTGTGTGTTGGTGTGTGTCTGTATGCTTGATGATGCGGCTTTATCAAAATTTGGCTAATTCTAGTGTTAAACATAGTTATGGTCTCATGTTTTTTGTGCTCTCTTCTGGTAACGTGCCTTAGTAGTGATGCTCGTGATGATCGTGGATCTCCTCGTGGTGGTGCACGGGCGCCGTCTTATGGACGACGGCATTGAAGCCATTGTGCTTGTCGGCGGTGTAGTCAACGGTGCGTATGGAACCATCGGGCTCCACCAGCGAGTACTGGCCCTTCACGGTGTCGCCGTCGCGGGTCTCGTGCTGTGACTTGACATCGCCGGTGTGGAAATCATTCACGCCATACTTGAAGGCATATTTGGGCGGGGCCTAAAGAAATTGAAGCTTCATAATAAAATACTGCCCTCATTTGCCCAAAACGCAAAACGCAACTCACATAGTAATCGACATGCTCGTCCTCGGTATGATGCTGCTCCACCTCGTAGTGGGGATGCTCATGACCATGCTCCTCGCCCAGCGAGATGCGCTCAATCTGATGCTGGTGTCCATAGTCGTGTATGGGCTCAGCCTCATGATGGCCCAAATGCTCATATCCGCCGTGGCTCTCCTCATAGTAATGATGATCCACCGGATAGGCCAGGCTCAGGCACAGAGCCGATGCAAAAATCAGATACTGCAATTGCATAATTGGACAGTGGCTTAGCTAATTGTTTGTTAACATGACTTGTTGGGGTCTCGCAATTAGCGTTAGTTCAGCAAGTGTTTGCGGAAAACCCGCCGCAACTTGCTCTCAACATGTTTTCATTTCTTTTTTTGTTTCTTTGCTTTCTGCGCATATTTAATGAAGTGTTAGTTGTGGTTTTTTTTTAGTTGTTGTTTATCTTTTGGCTACTTGGTTTAATGACTTGTGGCTTAAATTGTAAGATTTACTTAAATTGCGGTTTAAATGTGGTTATTCCACTTGAAATACGTCTGGTTTTTTGGGGTTAAGATTTAAATGATAAAGATATATGATACTTATAAATATATATATATATATATGAAAGTGTGGACTTTCTGATTGAGTAAATTTGGATATTCAAATATTTCCTCATTTTTATTTTTGGAATTTTTTGAAGAAGGATTGTTAAAACCAATTCCTATACAATTTCATAATTAGTTTTAATTGAAGATAATTAAAACTTATTACAATAAAATTTTATCTTTAGTTTTTATTAAAGATTATTAAAATCAATTTAAATAATATTTGATCTGTAATTCTTTGAGAGAATTTATAAACATCTCAATTTCAATATCTTTTTTTTATTATTTTTAAACTGATTTAATTTAAAATTAAATTAATTAATTAAATAATTGGAATAGAGACTTTATCTTTAGCTCTTCTTTCAAAATGATTTAAATTTGAGAAAATCAATTTTATTTCAAGCGCTTTGTAAGAGGTTTTCATGGGTCTATTCTTCCTTATTGTTAGGCTTAAAACCGCTGAAAACCCAAAAACAGGGTAAGAACAAACGGAATATTTTAAAGATAAGAAACAATTCCTGTTTTTAGGTATTGTGTGGAGGATAAATTCAAAATTCATAAATATCAAATTACAGGCTATAAATGTCTTGTTAGTTTATTGTTTCTGTCGGTTAGCATATCTTTCAGCTAACTATACAATTTTGGCTAATTAATTATCGGGTAAAACACTTTAGTCAAAATCTATATAAATACTGAGCTCTACAAAAAATATTCTCATTAAAATTGGAAATTTATCCACAATACAAAAATCCTTTAAACTTGCACTGTGCTTTACAAAAATATTCTCAATGAAATTTCAAATAAATGTTTGTTGTACGAATAAAATGCTATAAATTTCCATTATTCCAATTAGGAATTTTCTTATTCGATTATAATATTTTCTTGATGCATTTTAACTAAATTATAGCCCTGCGCTGCGCTCTAGTTAACTGTTTAAAATTTGCACATCACTTTGGTAGATAATTATTTAAAATGGTATCGTAAATATTTGCAATATTTGTAGTTTGTCTGTTTGCAACACTTTTCAACACTTGTATGATAGTTGAGATCCTTAAAGGATGTTGTTAAACACTTCAGTTTATTGTTAACACTTTGTGCATGCTTTGAGTATCCTTTCAAACTGTATCCTTCGGCTCACCTTAAAGGCCATTTTAATAGTTTGGGGTTTTTTATGCTTTAATTGTAAGTTGATTTTTTTGGTTTTGGTTTTATTGACGTTCCACGAGCTGCACGCAACGGGATTCCACAACTGAATAATGTGGTTGCAACGAGCCACCGTCGCTTTTATATAGTTAGGAAGAAAGTCAGACAACGAAGCCGGCGTCGCAGTCGCTGCTGAAGCCGGCGTCGGCAGTGAGCGGCGCACCACCAATAGAGATCTGAAAATAATGTAAAACAGTTCAGTTAGTAACGGTAGTTAATGTGTGTGTGCCAGTGTGTGTGTGTGGTTAGTAGCGGCTAGTAAACGTTATTGTTAAGTTTTGGCCTGGATGACGCATTCGGTTTTGCAAAAAAAAAATTTGACAGCGACAATTTCGACGTTAAGTTAGCTCGTGAATACTTTTATGGGTATTGTTTAGCCCAGCTCTATAAATCCATTAATCCTCCTGCTGCCGGGTTAGTTACGAATTCCATCATTAAAGCGCAGTTTGACCCAAATTTTTGGTTAAACTTTGCCATGATTTTGATTTTGGTATTGTGCTGCTGCTGGGGCAACTTTTGATCTTCGATCGTTTACTTTTAATGCGCTAATCGTAAATTGTAAATTGCAACAATAAAAAAAAAAAACAGAGAGAGCGTTATAAAGCCACCAACTTTTGTAATATTTAAGTGTTTCTCTTGCTGCTGGAGGCCTTTATTTCGGATGGATTTTCATTAGCTGCACGTCGTTTAGATTGTACTTCAAATCAAAGTTAAGTGCAACAGCAACAGCAGCAGCAGCAGCATTGAGAAATTGACCAATTATTTTGCGTAAATTTTCAATTGAACGATTTTTTTTTATTTCGGAGCGCCCCCAAGGAGGTTTCTCCAACTGCTCCACACACTTGGCTAATTAGGCAACGGAGCGTATACGCGATGCATTTTGGACAATCAGCCAGTCTTGTGGTCTAGCCTAGAAGTAATTCACATATGTCTGCGATTTGTAAATGCTTAAAATTACACAAAAGTCATTTGGCTTTAGAGCATGGCGCACTTTTTGGTAACAACTGAAGGCCTATAATAAGTTTTGGCTATTGCTTGTAATAAGCCATAATGAGCAGCAATTTGTTTGGCCTTGAATGCAGTTGAAGATTGGACTTTGTTAAATCAGGAAATATGGTATTTGTTGGGTTTACAAAAGAATGTAGATACGTTAGGCACGCAATGTTGCTGAGAAGAGAATATTAAGTTCACGTTGTATATACAATTACAAGAAATAAACAATTAAAACTGTTACATTTATATATTTTATACCCTTTAATAAAATCTATTTGCTCAGTTGTATTATAATAATATTTTTGAAACGAATACAGTGTTAGAAAGGGCTAAGCACTTATGCAAGGCATTTTACAACACTGTTTAATTTGTGATAATTTATTTGAAATAGATTTCTAAAACATCAACAGAAAGTTTAATGTTAATTCAATTGCCCTATATGAGGCAAAATCAGGAATGAAAAATTCAAGCCTAATTTGTTAAAAAAAAGTATACACTAAACACTTTACAACACTTATTCTAAGTGTTTAGAAATGAAACAAATTCTAATGAAAAGATGATTTAAAGGCAATTCTATTGGGTTAAATGAAACGCTATATTTTAAGAAAGGAAAGTTAAGGCTTTAAATAATGCCTAAAACTCGCAATAAGTTTTACAACACTGTTAAAAGTGTTTTTCATTTGCAGTAGCTGCAGCTACTTAATTAAGCTGTATGTAGAAACCGTCTAGCTTAGTCTCTCAGTTATGAAAGAGTGCTTGTCGCAGTTTTGAAAGCTCAAGTCCCTTTACCAGATATATAAAATAAACAATTTATTTTTATTTATCTCGCAAGACACTTTTAGCATGATTTATTATGCCAAATTACGAAACTTTCCCACAGTTGAAGCTAGCATCTTTTTATTTATTTTTGTGTTTTTTCTATATATTTTCAACCATTTGCATTCGCTGCCCTATTTGGCTTTGTTTACCAATCTCAGCATTGCCTTTGCAACATCATCAACGTCATCCTCAGCGTTGCCGTCTCCCACTTTTCATAGCCTCAATTCTCAAGATCGAACTGAGTTTACCTCAGCAGTTATTTTTTTTGTGCAGGTTGATGTACGTTTAAACGCAGCCACAAATTTTAATTGCTATATTTAAAGTCGACAACATTTGACAACGCTGCAAAGCATGACAAGCCAAACGAGCGCAGCAAAAAGCCAAACAACAAAACAACCAAACAACGACAGCGAAATCAAACAAAAAAAGAAAATATATATATGTATATTATTTTTATGATGATTACCAATCCGCAAAATCCCGAATTCAAAAAGCATTTACACGTACCGCAAGAAATATGGCAAATCAAATAAATGCTTAATTATGGTCTACAAGGGGACTCTCCTCGTGTGTGTGTGCGTGTGTGTGTGTGTGTGTGCAGGTGGAAAATATAACGCAAGTCAACATGCCACAGACACGACTACGAGCTGCAGCTGAAGTTGGAGTTGGTGTAGCATACCAAAAAGCCAACGTCTCTTTTTTGAGATGTTTTGCAATTTGGCGAAGCGACGCAAATTGAACGCAATGTTGATACAATTTTCCAGTGCCCGGTCGTCAGCGTGGCTTTTTATTTTCATTTTATGCCAAATGCGGCACTCTAATGAAAGCAACACAATAGTAACACATGAACTGGTTAAATACACTACATCTAAACATAAAATGCATGAAGTTGATGCTTGCTTGTACATACATTCATTTATACATACACATACATACATATATGCATATATGCATACAAACATTCATTCATATATACATACATAGACACGTATGGTTACATACATACAAACTCACATACTCCCTCGGTATTTACATACATACATAATTACTTACATACATTCGTTAATTCATACATAGATACATTTATACATTCATTCATTTATGCATCCATTTATACGTACATGCGTTCATACACATACATACAGACTTGCTGACACATATGTACTCATGCAACGTATATACAACCATTTACATACATACATTCAGATTGCCAATAAGACTTTCGAACATTACACCTACACAAAACATTAAAGAAGCATGAGCTTCTGCAAGGCTTACTTTTATTTATGAGAATCACATAGTAGGGCGATAAAACAAATACGTTTTTTACATTACTTGTAGCGGAGCTGGTGGAGTTATCCAGAAAGTAGAGTGTACTTGGTCTGCATTTAGTACTAGAGAACATGAATAGATACATACATACATGCATACATACATACGTACATACATACATACACACACACATACAGACACACATACAACGTGCAGAGCTTAGGCAAAGTGCTGGCAGACTTGTTACCTGTGTTGAGCTGTAGCTAATGTACCCCGTGACACTTCGTTTTGTTAAGCATAACAATAACAACAATTTTCAGTTGATTTCGCTGGGTTGTTGTTGTTTGATTTGGCTGTCTATGCAAAAGTTGTCGTCATCGTTGCAATCGGTGCTCACATATTTTCATTTTGTTTGCTTATTGAAGCGTTGTTGCCTGTTGTTGTTTCTGTTGTTGTTGTTGTTGTTGTTGTTGTTGCACCTCCTGCTGCTGGCAGCAGGTGTTAATTTTTGGTTCGATTTTTGTTATAACCAAAAGTTTAGCTTTATATTTTCATAGTTGTTGCTGCAGCCACTCAATCAATTTCCACTCACGAAAAGTGAAAAGTCAAAAAGCGACTCACAAATTTTCGGTTAAATTGCGGGCAGCTGCTGCTGCTGCTGCTGCTGCTGCTGTTGGTGGCAGTGCCCGGCAATTACCTAGTAACTCATATTTACTGTTGGACATTTAGTACATGCATTAAGTGCGGCTGCTGTGCATGTGCAACATGGTTGCAAGTTGCAAGTTGCAGTACTCGTGAGCTGCCCGATTGTCTGGCATTTGACTGCCTTAGTAACAGGAACAACAACAACAACAACAACAGCAGCAGCAGCAGCAACAGCTTTTGTCTCATTGTTTCATATTTATTTGGACTCTGTGGCCTCCTAACGAGCCCGCCACAAGACGCGTGCATCTTTCCAAAGTTGTCGTGGGAATCGTTGTGGTTGTTGTTGTTGTTGTTGTTGTTGTAATGCTTATCCTTTTATGCGGCGCGCTTGCGCAACAGCAACAGGCAATGTTGGCTGCTGTTGCACGTAATTGAAAATTACATTTTGGTTGCTTTGGCGAATGCCTCTGAGCCATGGCATAATTTTATAGCCAGCAATTCATATTCATTTATTTGAAGGCAACAATTGTTTTTCTTCGCTTCACACGCATTCCTAATGAATCTGCGTCTCTTCAATACAAAAATACCCTAAAACGAACAACTCAACAAACTGCAAATAAAATGCAGCGCATTGAACTTAAGCATGCGTTCGAGCAATTAACAGCCATATTAACAAGTCAACAAAGTTGCCAGCGAAAAGTGCGTGGCAACATTTCAAACAACATGTTGACAACGCGGCGAATGAGTGTTGCGATTGGATGTTAAGATTAGAGAGAGAGGGAGGGAGAGGGGAGAGAGAGGGGGAGAGAGAGAGACAGGGAGCGGTTGGTGTGAAAACGTTTGATTTGTCCATTAATTATGTCCAAATTAAGTAATGCGTCAATAAATTTAAATATTGATTGAAATCTACAAATTATTATTAATATATTATACCCTTGTAGAGGGTATAATAATTTTGTCATGAAATGTGAAACGCATAGAAGGAGACATATCCGAACCCATGAGGTATATATATACTGGATCAGTCTCTTAGAACATGCCACTATATCATCTAGCATAGGAAGAATCGGTGGAAAAAATCGGTGGATTTTTGTATAACAACTTTTTTGCTTATCAAGATATTGTGATCACTTTTGGTACCTATTAGTTTCACTATGCTATTCATCTATATGCAAAATCCAATCAACATCGGACCACTATAATCGGTCGAAAATTCAGTTCTTGTATACAATTTTTTTTGTTTATCAAGGAATCTTGATCAAGTCTGTCCTTGGTATTTAAACTACACTGTTTATATAAAAGCCAAATCTTATCAAAATCGCACAAGTGTATTAACAACTTTCAACAACTTCTATAGGGAGCTATATAATTTTTGATGATTAGCATTTGGTAGTATATAATAAATAATAATTTTAATAAAATGATAAGCTAATGTGATTGCAGTTCGACATCCTTAGTCATCTATGAAACTCAGAGTTACAAAGAAAAAGTCCTAAATTAATGATAATATGCAGAACTTTAAGTAATCAACAGACCATCTATATACATATAACTCAGGTGACTGCAGGAAAATCCCCAATGCTAAAAAGAGAGTCAAAATAATGTATATTTTTCCTATAGAATTGAGATTTAAGAGACTAGGATTGTTTAGTGGGTTTTACGGCAAATAAAAATGATTGAAACGAAAATTTTGTGTCTCCATTGAGAACATTTTAGTTTTATTTGGTAGGGTATATGATAGCTGGGTATATAAATAAAACTATTTTGTGTAAGGATTTTGCAAACATTTTCCTATAAAGTGATCACGTAGTAGATGCTTCTTGTTAACCCTGCCAATACACGATATAAAAAGAAAAATTGTTTATAATTTTGTTGATTTATCGATTTTATTATTTGGCTGCATTTCTCGCAAGCAAGTTGTCTATAAACATTTTTCTCACAACCTGCTCAGCTCTCTTTTTTTGCTGGCTTGCATCAAATTAATGTCCAAGCACAATGGCTGCATAATCTATCAAAACCAGCTTCGTAATCTCGCTGTCAAACAATGCTTAATGTTCGCTTAAATTCGATGCGGTAGTTGGATTTGAAATTGGAATTGGAATTCAGTTGTCTCGGCTGCACTCTAACAAGTTGTCATCGCGCTGGCGCTGTTGTGGCTCAGCGTTGACATAATAAATAGCTGCAGAAATTAATTAAATGCAAATTGCCAAATCACATAATCATATCATATGGCAGCTATATGTCTCTCAGACACACACGGGCCAGCCTCATGTGTTGCAATACACGGAAAAAGCTGGCAACCAGACCACGCGAATGCAACAGTTGGAGTGCACTCAAGAAATATAAAAAAAAACTGATCTTTCACCAGGCCGCGAGACAATTTTGCAAAAGGCAATTTTCAATTGAAATTAAATCAGACTCGCAGACTGTGGTCTAATTATGTGAGCGTTAATCAAAATATTTACAATGCGCACAGCGCTAAACATTTTAATTTGCGGGGCCGCTTCACACATTTCACTCGAGGAAACTGGCGTCGGGCAGCGTTTTTCTCGTTTCTCATTTCTCGACTGGCGACTTCCTTGGCTTTAGTCGGCTCGACTCCTGTGTGTGTGGGTCTCATTATTAATTGGGCTCGATATCTATGGCCAGGCGGCGTTGACTTCCTACAACGAAATGCGCTTAAAAGTTGGGATGCCGCGGTTCAAAGTAGGTTAAATACTTTTACCTTATTTCGCCGAGCTGGCAGTTTAGCTAATTGCCGTCATTTTTGGCAGCAGCTGTGAATGTTCGTTTGGTTTTCTGTTTTTTTCTCTCATATATTTGTCTTTTATTTTTTTGATTTTCCTGCTGCTGGCAACCCCCTGCGTTTGACAATTAACAACTTTTCAAGCGCGCTCCAACCGGATGTTATGAAATTGACCAGTTTTTTTTTTTTGAATTTTTTTGGCCCGTCCTGGCCATATCAAGATTATAAAATTGTTAAATTTATGCAACCGGCGCTGTGCGAACTGGCTTGGCGACTCCTCTAATCAAGTTGTCAAGCGTCGGCGTCGTCGTCGGCGTCGTCGACACATTTCTGGCAAATAAATTTGGGCAAAACGAACGATTTATAATGGTCACGTTGCCGCGTGCAGGGACGAAACCCGTTCAATGTTAAGTTGAAGTGCAGCCGCAGCCGCAGCAGCAGCAGTTGCAGCTCTCTCAATAATCTATTCATGCCGTCCACTGTGCGTATACGTAATGCGCCACGTAAAACGCCTTACGTTACGTAGCCGCAGCTGCAACAGCGACCCAGCCAAACACTTTCACAGTCTCTAGTTAAACACTGGGTTTATTTTGCAATTTCGGCTGAAGAAAAAGAAGTGATTACCTCAGCGGCCTGCCAGCAATTAGTTAATGACCAAATATGTATGCCAAATAATGCAGCGGCGGCAGCAACAACAAACAACAAGCGAAACGAAACGTAGCAGCAATTTAATTAACATACAATAAAACACTTGAATGCATATGAAAGTTGGCAACAATGCAACTCCCAGCACTCAGCACTCAGCACCACATGCCGCATGCCGCATGCCGCATGCATGCCTTTCGTGCCCCCTCCCCTCCCGCCTGCTGCTTGTTACCGCTCTCAAATTGAACGCGCGCGCGCCTCCACTGGCCATAATCCAGACTTATGAACGTGGCTAAGCTAATTGGCGCACAGTCGATCAGACTACGTTGAGGGAGAAAGAAAGACAGAGAGAAGAGAGTGTGAAAGGAAGAAAGAGAAAAAACCATGCTAAACAAAGTTTATGGAAGAGTTTTTAGTTTAAATACCAAAATTCCTAAAAAATATGTAAAGAAAATTATATCATTACTTGCCCGGCCTCGCCCGGGGTACATATAAAATATATTCTCTCAAAGATCTTTGACCCATGTCTCTCCATGTCTACATTCGATTTTAGGGTGCCATATTTTGACATGAATTTCGACTAAAAAATATGTTGCCAGATTTAAATGTCAAATTAAAGTAGAGGCAAAGGCATTAAGAAAAATCCAAATCTCGTGAAAATCGGTTGAGTTTTGTCCAAGTTAAAGGATGGGGAAATTTAGACCCATATCTATATCCGATTTCGGGGGGTAACATTTGGACATGAATTTCGACCAAAAAATATGTTGCCAGATTTAAATGCCAAATTGATCTAGAGGCCAGACCATGAACAAAGAGCCAAACCTCGTGAAAATCGGTGTGTTTTAGAGATTAATATCTCATATTAAAGAATACATGTTCTAGCTAGGAAATAGCTAAAATAGCCAATTCTTTATACGAAATTTGCCTCGTTTTTATTTTACAGAATAATATCTTATATTAGGAAATTTTAAAAAGCAATTTTATTGGCATCGAAACTAAGGGAAAACTCGTAGTAATTATGTATCTATCCATCAATCATTTATAGCTACGATTTTATTCAGACAATTTATAAAACATTTCTCCGCAATAAAAGTGAATGCACGACAGGCAACAAATAAATATTTTAGATGTGCGCTACAAAGAAAAACCCAATCATAAGAGTGTAAAATGTATAAATATCGAGTAAAACTTGAGTTGTTATTTTTTATTATTGCTGTTGTTGTTGTTGTTGTTGCTTTTGGCCATTGCATAAACTGAAGACAATTCAGAGATAACGTTGAGGCCAGGCGCGGCGGGCGTGCGTGATAGAAATTAAAGCTGCAATTGAATAAAAAAAACACAATACAATAAATCAGCTTAAATATGCATGAGGCGAAAAGATGGTAACGAAAAGAAAACAGCAAAAAAGTGAGAAAATTAAAAATTCAATACATTTCCTTCCGTTTTGAACGCATTTTGGCGCATTGCCAATTGCCGATTGCCTCTGGCCCGAGCTTCCTGAAGCTGGCAAATTGAGAGATATTGTGACTGCAACCAGTTTTGTCGCCCACACTTGGCCCACAAATCGTTTGGGCCACATCACTTCAAAGGCGGCTAAAATGTTGAATAAGTCCCCTCCATTCAGATTAGCTGGCGAGATGAATGCTCCAATTTGCGCGCCCGGCAAACCCGGAAAATGTCTGCAAAATATGCCATAGCCTATCTCTGTGTTTATGTAGTCGAGTGTAAATTGAAGCCTTGTGATTGTTTGCTTTATGCTTTACTCGCATTCTTGTTGTATGCTCTACTTATGCAAAAGCAAAAAAAAAAGTAAGAGTGCTCTAGACGTGAATGCCCGACTGGGAGATACTCTGCAGCCAGCACCGAGTTGCCTTTGCAGACATTCGCACTGCTTTTCTGTGTAGACATATACAAATGCACACATAAATAGAAACACACACATACACGCACATTGCTTACGCAGAAGCTTTGCTTCTTCTTCCTTTAGACCCACTTTATAGGACATGAGTTCCTGAATAACTTCGGTATTTGTTCTCCAATCTTCATGAAAATTTCTGGTCTTAAATGTGGCATATAAATGTGTGTAAATACCAAAGCCTAAGACTATGCTGACAAAAGTGACTTTATTTCTTAATTTAAGGGGAAACGGCTTGAGATATCCGAAAAGTGAAATGTTCCTGAACTGTTAATGCCTCGCAAGAGCCAACAAACTAAATTTGAAGTCTCTAGCTGCCTTAAAATATGCCTAAAAAACGTTAGTTTTAAAATCTATATTTATCCATATGATCAAAAGGTGGGCAGATATCGAACAACAAAGAATCTTATTCACGAAGACGGGTAAACAGACGGATATATTTAGGTCGACAGGTCGACTTGGCTATTAATGCTTGCCAAGAATATATATTATTTACGAGGTCGCATACATTTGCATAAAACGGTCATACCCCATTTTTTCTGGACAACTTTCTGGCATGAAAACGTACTCATGACTCGCTCTGAAAGCTTTTACCTATGAAAAGTGAAAGATCTTGCCGGCTCGGCTTGGCCCGCTTACCTAATGCTTATTAGTCGCTGTGGGGCGTGTCGGCAATGCTGGTGGCTTAGTAACTAACGGCTACAGTGGGGCAGCCACATTTTGGTACTCCTCTGGTTTTTTTTTGTGTGCCACAAAACTGTGTGCTAAGCGTTTAGTTGATGCAAATTTGGTAAATGCTCTAGGAATTCACGACGATTCGCCTGAATGATTTTGTGGTACCAGCTGCTAGCATTGGAATTATCGTTAACCAAAGGCCTGGGCGGTGGCAATGTGGTGCTAACCACAACTTTGGCCACTTGCGGTGCCTTCTCATCGTTATTGGACTTGGCTTTGTTGTATGTGCCAAGCGTTGTTCTGTTGCCCAATGGAGCCAAAGTTGTAGCCGTTGTTGTGGTTATTGTTGTTGTTGTTGCTAGCAGTTGTTGGGCTGGCAACTCGAACGGCACCAGTGGCAAATCCTTGTCTATAAAGTTGTGCAGCGTTTCAAAGGCTAAACTGCCATTGGCTTGGGTCTTGAGCGGCGTCTTGCCATTGACTATGTCCAGCACAGCTGGCTGCAGCACATCCTGCGCCACATTGATGTGATTCAAATCCAGGCCATGCTGCTCCTTCAGCTGTTGGGCCACCTTATGCTCCACCTGATCCACGCTCACATTCAAATGACTATTAGGATCCCAGCTGATATTCACAGCCGGCTGCATTTCATGCTGCGCCTTGAGTAAATCTGGACGCTGTGTGGGCCAAATGGAGTCCACACGCTGATCACCCGGTGCATAGCTTTGGGAGTGCGACAAGTAGCCGCTGTCCTCATCGGCTTTGTAGCGTGTCACCTGGACGAGTCCATCGGGCCGCACATAGCCATAGCTGCCCTCAATGCTGCCGTTCAGAAAACGTCTCTCATCCCGAAATTGTATATTGTTAGTCTGTGCATCCTCCACCTCAAAACCAAAGGCGTAGGTATTGGGACCTGTGCGGATTATACAAATAGTTATTGCTATATTTACTCCAGCTGCTCTTTTTGTGGCCTACCGTAAGGCTCATGCAGAAAGTAGTTGCTCGTTTTGCTCGGCTCGCTGCGGTTTTCGTCAGCCGTCTTCGCGTATGCTGCATTTCCTGCTGGCACTGGAGTGGCCCACGCGGCGTATACTTTTGCGACGAGCAGCAGCAGCAGCAACTGCAAGAAGAATGAAAATATTATTGCATACTTTGGGGCTAGTAGACTTGGCATAAAGCTTTGTTTAGATTGATTTAAAATTGGATGAACAGGAGTTTGGCTTTGGCAGAGTTATGGTGATTGGAAGTATTTAAAAAGCTTGATTGTGCGCTTTTGTGACCTAAGAGAGGGTATGATCGTTTGTGTGACGACCCTATACATAATAGATTTTCGGGAACAGGGCGTCGAACTGATTTCTTGTCCGTCTTTCTTTATTTCCATGTAATTCTATATCTGTATCACTGATGTAAATATGTCTATATGATGTATACGTGTGGGTATATATGTATGTGTGTATGTATAAATGTATGTATGTATGCATGTGAATATAAATTATATATGTATACATATACATTGCCTGATATCACAGACCTTCCGCTGCGCTGGAAGTTAAAGAAACGTATTTTTAAATATCGCCTTACTATGCGATTCTCATGAACTCATATAAGCTTGTCTTGGCGATCTAATGCACTTTTTCTGCTTCTTCATTATCCCGCTTTAATTTACTCTTCATCTCCTTCTCGATTTTTTTTATTTCTATTACCATCTAGTGATCTCTCTCTCCCTTTCTCTTTTCGTCTCTCCTTCCCTCTCTGTATAAACAAGAATATACATTAATGCAATTAAGACCTGGGCACGGGCTATTTCAAAGTATTTCACAAGTCTAAACGGGTTCTAAGTTTTTATCTTGAAAAGAAAAGGTTGTTCAACGACCTGAGCACAAGTTAGTTTCCCAGATGAGTTATATTTTAAACAGCTGCCTTACTTGCCCTTTCGATACATCTCTTAAGGCAGTTTGGTAAAAAATTTCCAAAATAAACCAAATACAATTTTATGTATCATTAAATGAGTTTCATAATTTTTCACACCATCAACCATGTCATCTACGCTAATAAAATCGAGTTTCTTAGAGGCAGCTACGCACTTACAAACAACCATAAGCGAAATATATTTGTAAGAACTTCCATGCTGAATTTTAATGAGCTGCGAATCACATTTGCTGAGCGTCACTCGCTTTTTGACATTCCAAGCAGTATGTTCTTCGATATATCCGTATATCCGGCGGACTTGCGCGCACTTTCAGTGGCAAAATTGAACTGAAGACGCGACCGCGCGGCAGCCAAAACATAATTGAGAGCCCAATTAGAAATACAATGTTAGAATGCTAAATAATTTTCAGCATGCTCAGTCAAATTAATTTGGTGAAAAGATGAGCTGAGAAATGAAGAAAATATAATTTGCTAAACAGCTTGACCTCTGCGAAGGTTTAGCTGGAACTATAATAATAATATAATATAATAATAATTCATATCTCGCATTCTTTTTTCAATTTGATTTTTATTCATTTTTTTGTAGTTTTCTATTAATACATTTTTATAATTCGATAATAACGTGTTTCTGCATTTCGTTGTGTTTATCAAGAATTTGTATTGTTTAAAATAATTGCTCAATGAACTTTGAGCGTGAGAGACATGTGAGAGTTTTTTTTCTTCTTGTTGTTTGTTTGTTTGATCTACAGAGACAACATTGATGCAACAATGGTTATTTTTTTTTTGTGATTTTTTTTTGTTGTTTACATTTTATATACATATATATTGATATTATAATTAAGCGGCATAATTGTTTATAAATACAATACACACAAATTGTGAAGAATACTAAATGCAAAAATGAAACTAGATACAAAAGTGTCAGACTGAGAGTGTGGATGTGTGTATATGGGTGTGAGTGAGATAGTTGTAGAGAGCGTCAGTTGAGCGTTGAGTAATAAGAGGAAAGAGAAAGAGTGAGCGAGAATGAGACAGTTGAGTGCGTGAGACAGCGAGTGTGTGGGTGAGAGTTCTTGATAATATGTTGAAATATTTTTCAAGCGTAACTTGAATGGGTGAATCGAAATGCACGAAACGCACGCGCCAAGGTATCACAAGAGTTGTATCTATGGCCCAGTGCTTGCCAAACTGTGCGCCAAATGAAATGGCACAAAATGCTCCAGTTGCTTAAATATTAAACAATTAAGCGGAGCTGGCACGCCCCATGCTGTTAGTTGGGCGTGGCAGTTCTTCAATTGACCACAGTTTTTTTATATAGCGCCAAAGGCATCTTCATAAGAGCGAGAGAGAGAGAGTGAAAGTGAGAGAGAATGCATAAATATATTACAAAAGTGAGAGCAGAAGAAATTGAAAGTTGAAAAAACTAGTTTTTAGATAGACAATGAGTTGGGAGTTGTGTTTAAGTTCTGGAAGATGCCTTTGCAAATTTGGACCATAAGAACAGTTGCATTTGTGATTATGTTTCGCGCTGACCTTGACTTGTGCTTGGTGCTAGATGGTAATGGGCGGAAGTGGTTAAACATAATATGAAACATTGATTAAATATACAAAATATACAAATATATATCCATATATATGTGCATTCAAAAACTTTGCCTCGTTTTCAACTGTGATTTCTGCTGCTGCTGCTGTTGCTTCAGTTTACGCTTTGTGTCAAAACATTATCAACGTTCACCAACATCATCATCATCATCATTATCATCGTCATCATCATCATCATCATTCTCATACTCGTGCTATGATCAAGATCAAGTCATTATGCTTTCGTTTAGGTTTTTTTTGTTTTGTTTTGTTTTTGTTCGTATTTCCTTCGTCCATGCCATGCCAGATCAGCCGGGTGCCGGGCACCCACTAAGGTGCCCGTTTCTACTAAAAACTTCTTAGCTACATTTTACTTACTTACAAAAAAAATGTACACGTATTAACGATTTTTCAATGGATCTGTTTTATCTGCCTGTTGTTCCTATATATTGTTGTGTTTGCGGTTGCGTTTGGGGGGAGAGAGCACCTTCATGACTCGACTGCTCGACGGCCTTTAGTAGTGGTGCAGCAGTGGGCCATGTGACAGCACCGGAGCGTGCACGACGGGCGCATGGGCGATGATCTTGGGTGCGGTCTTGTGGACGACGGCATTGAAACCGTTATGATCATCGGCGGTGTAGTCCACGGTGCGCACAGAGCCATCGGGCTCGACCAGCGAGTATTGGCCTGGGCAATGCATAAATGAAAAATTGATGGCAATTAGTTAAACAGTTAGTGTATGTCAAGTTTGTTGTCTAAGTCTTTTGCTTGCATTCAATTTTCTATGCCAAACAAGTTTGACGCTCAATTCTTTGCAGCATAAGGAGTATGTTGCTTAAGTCTTTTGCTTGCATAAAAAGTTTGTTGCCTAAGTCTTTGGTTTATGTTTAATGTTGTATGCCAAATAAGTTTGTCGCTTAAGTCTTTTGATTTCATAAAAAGTTTGTTGCCTAAGTCTTTAGTTTACATTCATTGTTCTATGCCAAACAAGTTTGTCGCTTGAATCTTTTGTTGCATAAAAAGTTTGTTGCCTAAGTCTTTTGTTTGTTTTTAGAACTTGTAAATTTAGATAAAATTTTGAATTATTAAGCCCTTTTTGTTGCGAAAACTTCTCTGCTTCAAATTTGTTATGCTCTTTAAGCCCCGCCCAACTCACCCTTCACAACATCACCATCACGCTCCTCAGCCTGAGACTTGATATCGCCGGTATGGGGATCCTTGATGCCATAGTTGAAGGAGTATTTAGGGTAGGCCACCGGCTCCGCATGCACAGCATGGGCCAGCACTGGGGCATGATGCACCTGCAACAACGATGGACCATAGTGACCCAGCTCAATCGGCACAGCTTGAGCGGCGGCAAACAGCAGAGCAATGGCAACAAAGTACTGTATGTGGGCGTGTGTGTGTGTGTGCGTGTGGGTGTAGAAGAAGAGGCAGAAAATGAGTCCTTGCTCGAGCGCAACGTTTTTTTTGCGTTGTTTTTTTTTATTTTGTCGTACCTTCATTTCAATTGAGCACAGACAACGGCACACGACGCGAACAAAAGGACGAAGGATTCGTTTCAAATTAAACTGAACTGGCACAACTGTGGCTTTAGGCACGGCTAAGACGCTTTGGAGAGGACCGTTTATAGCACGAAATCGTAAGCTGAACTGATGTCTGCAACGATGACCAAAAGTATTTATATACGCGCAGGCGATGCCAGCGAGCACGACGACGATGGCGACAGCAGCAGCACCAGCAACTTCAGCAGCAGCGAATCGAGTCGTACGAGTTGCAGCTGCAGCGGGTGTCGGCAGCGGGCAGGAAACGAAGACATAGACACAGAGACCACGCATGTGCCGGCTGAGATCGCTGTTGCTGCAGTTGCTGCTGCTGCTGCTGCAGTTGCTGCTGCAGTTGCTGCTGTTGCCGCTGGGTGCGGCATTTTCTTGGGCTGTGAAGGCGTTGCTAGCTTTTGTGACTCGGTTTTCGGCAGTTGTGTGTATCTGTTAAGGACAGATAACGGAGCAATTGAAAGTGACACTTTGCCGCTGCTGTTGTTGTTGTTGTTGCTGTTGCTGCTGCTGTTATAGCCTAAGCTGTTTATTTATTGATCGGTTGCGGTAATTACGACTCACAGTCGGAGGCAGTTTTAATAGCTGCGACAGAGACTCTGGTCTCTGCAAATATTATTACCATATCTGTGGCAGTCAACGCGCGCCGTTATAATTACCACAAAAGCAACAACAACAGCAACAACAACAACAGCAACAACAACAAACTTGACGCAATTTGTTGCACGACATTTTGTTGTTCAAAGAACTTTTGTGTGCGTGCGTTTGTGGAATTTCGATGTTGGCAAATGCTCGCATATTTTGTATTTTGTATTTCTATGCTCTTTGTTTTTGGCTACGCATATCAAACGTCGTTCAATCAACATTTTGTTGTGGCATATGACAATTTCAATTTGTTGCCATGAGAGTCATTCGGATTAGTTGCTTGTAAAGTTGTCTTGAAATAGTTTTTTTCTGGTCTAAAAAGACATATATAAAACGTTTTCTAAGCTAAGCATACATTTGAACAAAACCCTTACGCCCTTTTTTATTTATTTTCATTGCGTTTAGGGCATGAAAAAGAGAAAGATATGAAACTTATGTAGTTGAGTTTATTGAGCAATTAATATCTAGATGCCAAATCAATCTGGAGCACAAACTATGAAAAAGTGTCCTCATTCATTAAAATCGATTTGGCAAAGTTGTGAAAGCTTGTAGCTTAGTAGGGACATTTACTGGGGACTAGGGTGGATTTTTATACAAATGTAAAAAAATGGAATGCGAATATGTATAGATTTAGAGCAGAAACTATGAACAATATGTCCTCATTCACTAAAATTGGTTAAGTTTTGGCAAAGTGTTGGAAGATTGCAGTTTAATAGAGACATTTACTAGGAACTTGGCACTTTATAAGTCCAAATATTTCGCATATTTAGCTTGCTTAATGACCGAACATGTGACCCTCTTACTTAAATTGAAAAGATAAAAATCCGTTCAATTTTAACAAAGTTTTCGCACATGGAAATAGCTTGAAAATTGTTCAATTTTGACAAACTTATTACATGTGGAAATAGCTTGCTTAGATCTGAGTACAGGGTAGCGGTCATTCAGTAATTCTTAAGCGAGCTTACCTTTGCCACAATTAAGTGTTATTGATAAATTATTAAATTCAGTTAACCAAAACTGCTGCTAAGCAAAACAAATCGCAGTTCCAGCATCAATATGAACAATCCAGGCGTAACGATCAACAAAAATGGGTCTTGCCCAATTCGTGGCAACATGGTGCGTTAGATTTTCCATGCTCATGATGTCAAATTTGGACACGTTGACTCGAAATTTCTTGCAACGCCCACGCAAACAGCTTTGTGCCAAGTTGCGGGTATGCAACAAGCAACAAGCAACAAACAAAAAACAAGAAACAACAACGACAAAATGTTCTTGCATGACATATCAGAAAATTATTATTATATCTTGTAGTCAAAAGAGCACACAAGTGGCCAGGACAGACAGACAGACGAACACATGTGGCGGCAACGATGGGAAAAAAAGCAGCTCAAAGTTTGTTTGCACGAAACAAAGGTGCAAAACAGACTTGGCCAGCAAAAGTGCAGTTAAAGCTACTAAAAGATCATTTGTGTGGCTGGGAAGGCCCGCAACGAAAACAGAATCGACTTACATAAAATGACTTTAAAGGCGACACATTTACAAGGCGCACCAAAACCGAAATAAAAAACGCTTTGAAACAATTGTGGGCTAAGAAAATGCAAACAACAACAGCAACAACAACAACAAAAATGCAGCTGAGGCAGCCACAGGCTTTGCAAACAAGTTGGCCACGTCACGATCGAGATCGCAGAGCGGGTGTTCCAGGGGGGAGGGGGAGGGTGGGGGGCTTGGCTAGATTGGAGCCTTTGGAGTTTAGTTGGTTAGTTGGTCAGCGGCGGCTGAAATGAGTGGAACACGCTTTGTCTTTGTCGAACACAACAGCGTTCGATGATTGCGCAACAAATGCGGCACAGTTTGAGAGCCATTGCACATGGCACACTGTTTGTCTGCGGGGGCGACATGCGCGATGGCTGCGTTAATTGCTGCCGCTGCCGTTGCCGCTGCCACTGCCTCTGCTGCTCTTGTGGCACCTGCGCCACTGTCGACGCATGTCAGAAATATGCGCATGCCACGCCATGCACTAAAAATTGCCAATCGAAATGCAAAATCGCAATTCCAAATCGATTGCCTCAATCATCAAACTCCAATTCCAATTCCGACTGCAACTCCAACTCCGAACGAGTGTCAGCTCGATAAGTAGAACGAAGTTTTTTAATCTTGATTTATGCCGCGCATGCAAAACTATTTTGGACAATGGTTTGGTTTTTATTTTGTATTTCTTATTTTATCTGGCGGTTCTCTTGAACATTTAAACGCACTTTGCTTTGATTTTAATGACTTGTCTGTTCTGCATTGACATTGATTTATGCACATTCATGCATATGGTCAGTTTTAGAAAGGCCCGCTAATCCGCATTCAAAGTCGCAGGCTCGATTGTAATTTAGGCTAACTCAAAACTATTATTTCTGTTTTTATTGGTCGCACTACGCTGCGTATGCGTAATATGGCATTTCCTGCCACAGCTCAGCTCAGCTGCTTCTGCTGCACATCCGCTGTGGCAGGCTGCCTTTCCATGGGAAGCTTGTATTCATTTCATTTCCCAAATGTAACATAAAACGCTGTGAACAATACGCGTATTACGCATACGCAACGTTTGCTCAGAGAGTCAAATGTTTTAGTTTTACTCAATTATTTATATATTATATAAAATAAATATAGGAAAATTCGTAGAATAGGTACAAAAATTCCAACATTATTCGCTAAAATGTATTCACATTTTTATACTCTAAACCTATTGAAATTGGAATAAAAGGCAGAGGAATGCATCTCCGACCTCATAAAGTATATATATTCTTGAACAGCATCTATTGTCGAGTCGATCTAGACATGTCCGTCTGTCCGTCCGTCTATCCGTACGTATAAACGCGTCGATCTCAGAACCTTTAATAGCTAGAGGTTTGAAACTTCGAACATAAATCCATCTAATGCTCGCGAGTTTGTTCCCGATAATCGATAACTAGCCCCGTTTCCAATCAAACGATAAAAATTGTTATCGAAATAAAGTTTTTTGAGCGAATCTCTTAGGTTTTAAGAGCTGAAGTCGCCAAATTGGACATGTAGCTTCTAAAAAAGTTTATACAGATCAAGTGTTTTTCATTTTATCAATACTTCAACCCCATGCCCCGCCTCTTAGCTAAAAATCACATAAATACACCAATTGGAACTCGCAGCATTTGTTGCAAGTAGAAGAAGGTTTAAGGTATCTTCTAGTCGCACAGCTGCTTAAATAAACTCAATTAAATTTAAATAATAATTTATATATATTTTGAATTCGGTAAGAAGCCCTTTTAAAGTCGAATTTACCAGCTTCTGTTGGCATGCACATTAATATTTTATTTTTTTGTTTACCCACATTGCAACGTTAGCTAATTAAAACATTTTCGCTGGCATTCTTGCACGTTTGGGCAAACTGCATGCTGTCCAGTTTTGGAGCTGGCCCGTCATTCTAAGCGGCACACCATAAATCTTCAGCACATTGCCGCAATGCGCAGGCATCGACTCTTGGGATGCTATTAGCTAGAGATGCCTGAGGAGATGCTGGCCAGCCGCCAGGCACTAGATATAAGGCGCTTGTCAATTAGGCACACACGATGCCCAGCCAAATGCCAAAGAGCTGCCAACCCAATTGTGTCGCCAACTCAATTCTCCGATTACTAACTGCATTTGGTCACGCTGCCCGCCGCTCCTGCTCCTGCTCCTCCTCCTTCTGCCTCTCTACCTGCTGCTGCTCTCGCGGCGCCACTCAGTTGGTCAGTTGGTTAGTGCCATTTCGGCATCATTACCGCATCGTCGCTGGCTGCAAAAAAAAAAGTCCAAAGTCGTTTGATCCAATTTCGTTGGCTGTTTGCATTGCAGCCGCCCCCCTCCCCTCTGCCGTGCTCAGCCCCGCCCCTTCTGCGCTGTCGTTTTGATTTTCGCACATTTAATGCGATTTTGCACATTTGCGCGTATGAATTAAGCGAGTGACGAAATGGACTCGCTGCCAGGCAGTCGACCAAGTGGAGCACACACGCAAACAGATTTCAGAGATGTTGTGCGCGACTTTGCAACAAAGTCGTTGCCTGCCTGCCTGGTTGGTTGGTTGGTTGGTGCAATTGCCAATTGCTGCTGCGCCTGATTGATTCCGATCGAACGCAACAACAACGCACACGCTTCACTGCAGCAGCATGAAGCAGCAGCAGCGGCAGGCTCTGCGACGTCTCTGTGGCCAGCCAGTTGGATTACGCAAAGCCATTCCCAGCAGCAGCAAAATCAACTGACACATATTTCAATTAGCTTTTGCTTTAGATTTAACAAAAAAGTAT